AGACGGGTCCCCAGTGTGGGACAATCTCTGCTAAAACCCAAGATCAATAAACACCACGACAGCAAGGGACTGGAGCGTGAACATTAAGATCCAGGCCTGCTGGAGAGACAGGGTTAGCAGTGGCCCAAGGCACTGACAGAAGCCAGAAGGGTACCCAGCTGGAAGGGGTGAATAAAACCACATTTCCAAGGGCAGCTCCCAGGGGATATTGTCATCAGGGCAACAGCGGGCCCTGGGATCCTTCACCAAGACCCCGGCTGCTTGTAGCTGACCCGTATCGAGTGTAAGTATGTGTAACACCACCACGCGGCATGCCGCTATGCTCAGCATACAGCCATTTGTTCAAATGTGAGCCCATTTCACAGGGGAGGGCTCTGAATCGAGGAAGGGGTTAAGTGGTGGAGTCACAACTCCGGGGCCAGCTGTGGGGCAGCCAGAGAGGAGGTGAGCGGGGCTGGAATGCTGAGGCCGATGAGGTATTCCAAGCCTAAGACAAAGTCTGTGGAGAGGGACTGGGCTTTCCTGACACAGTCTCATACACGACTAAAAGAGGCTGCAGCGTCCGCAGAAAGTCCCACCAAACAGTGGTGAGCGCCGGCTGATAGGCCAAACTTTCAGCTTCGGCCCATAAGAAGTCCTTAAGAGAATCAAGGGAGGTTCCCCAGGAAGTTCCCCTTAAAGTAGGGGTGCCTTCTCTCTAGACCAGCTCCCAAAGCAGCCTCTGGACCAGAAGGCAGTATCAAATTATATCCCATCTGGTTACAGATGCAAACTCTGGGGCCACAACTTAGGCCTGCTGAACCCGAGACCCAACAGCCCAGGTCCCCCCATACATGCCCACTCCCAACAACCCAGTCCCACACACACGCCCACTCCACTTCTGTTTCTTTGGAGGCACTGGGTATCCCAACTCTGAGCCTCATACATGCTAAGCCATCAACCACCACTGGGCCACTAGACTGCCGCCCTAGACAGGAAGGAGTCCCCCTTAGTCCTTCAGGGGAGTCAGCTCTGCTCAGAAGCTGGAAGGAGAGGGGAACACACCAGGCCAACTGAGCAGCCCTGCTCTGCCTGCCACACAACCCTTCCCCTGGGCCCTGCTGGTGGCTCCTCTGCCCAGAAACCTCGCTCCTGCCCCAAGCCATCTTTCTGACTAATTGGACTTCCCGAACTTATTTACTATTCGACCGTCCGGGCCACGTGGCCAAGGTAAAACAACTTCACCCCTTCCAGGCTTCCATTTCACCTCCACAGCTCTGTGCCTTCACAACAGATGGCAGAGGGTACCCTGGGCGTTTACCTAGACCTTCCCAACACCTGTGACGTCACGTCCGCTTTCTTTATTAACCCCTCTTGTTCACTGCCGTACAAGAGATATCTGTGTCCTCGGAGTCCCGGGAACTTCACTCTGTGCCAGACTCATCAAGGGCAAGGGCCGACGGAGACATCCTCCCTGTCCTCAAGAAACCATCCCACTGGTGGGGAATGGCCAGGCATGAACAAATAATTATAAATGATTCACACGTCAGCAAGTCCTGAGAAGGTCACTGGGCTGAGGTCAACAAGATGATAAAGAGACAAGCCTGAATCCCTGACAGGAAATAACTGTACGTTGAGCCTATGCCCAACTCCAGTGTAGGCTGCATTCTCCACGTAGATATCCAACAACCACCTTGCAGGAAAGCAGTAGTCTCATCCACACACACCCCCAAAAAAGGGGGGGAACTGCCATGCAGGGAGGGGGAGAGGGGTGTATAAACAAACAGCCAAGATTCAGGCAAACGTGTGAGAACTGGGTGGAATGCTCGGGACAGAGGAGGCCAAGCAGGCAGGTGTCCAGTCAAGACCAACACAGGCAAGAGTTCCAGGGAGGAGAAAAGTCAGCCTGAAGCCAGAAAGAAAAAAAAAAATGAGCAAGTTCAAACTGAGAAGCATCAGATGAATCTGAAATCCAAGCTATTCCGGAAGCTCGGGCAAGACGCACGGGTGAACGCAGAATATTGATACATAGATGGGCCGGAAAGGAGGAAGAACCAAGAGACTCCCACTTTTCTGACTCCCCCCTCCACGCCATTTTAAAGTTTGGAGGAAAGTCTGTGTACCCACGACAAAGCAGTCAACGGCCACATAATTGTAATGTCTAAAGGGAGGCCGGCCGGAGTACTGCACGGTCTCGAGTGGACTCCACCAATCGATGAGCAGGGTGGCAGGTCTTTTCATTGTGTCCCCAGAGTCCTCGCTGAAGGGTCCAGCTCAGCACCCTGAAATCCTGTTTGCAGAACACTATTAACACTTCTTAACCATAGAAAACTACATATACAGTGACGAGGCAGCCTGTTAGAAACAGGGCTTTTCTCCCACAAAATTTTCACAAAGTTTTACCTTTCACTGCCCCCCCCCAGAAGAGCACAGTTAAACTTGGTTGACACGGGAGAGGTGATGTGGCGTTACCAGCGGCAAAGATGCTCGACCGTAATTCACACTCTCACGACTGTCAAACCAGAAGCCTGCACTTGCTCCATTAAAACCAGTGCTTCCCAGCTGGGTATGGGGCAGGCCTACGACCTCAGCCCTCTGGAGACCTGGAGCAAGAAGACCCTGTTCAAGACCAGCTTGGGTAGTCAGTGAGACCTCTCTCAAACGGGTCACCGCAGCTCCCTGATGCATGGTGAGCGGTACAGATTTGGGTGAACAAGTCAACTTTTCAAAGTATAAATATTGATGATCTCTTCTGAATCTGTGTAATTATATGTCTTGAGTTTGTGTGTAAGAACAAATATATATATGTATGTGTATATGTATGTGTAAGTATATGCATATGTATGTGTAAGTATATATATATGTATGTGTATGTGTAAGTATATATATATGTGGGTTTTGATGCTTTATATAATCATATGCATACTTCAATAAACTGCAAAAGTCAAGACTGCCAAGAAAGCACAATAAAGTTTCTCTACAGTTATTAAAAGAATAAAAGCACTGGGTGTGTAAAGACTGGGAGGAATTTTGAGGGAGTAGTATAGTACATAAATAACTGGAGCTTAGGAATCTGTTTGCCAACCACCAAAAAAAAAAAAAAAAAAAAACAGCCAAGCACCTGTTCTGCATTGTACCCAAATTTGACTACAGCCACACATAACTCTCTCCTCAAGAGAGACAGAGTATCGGTCGCCTGGGGGAAAGGGAATCCTAGAAGAGTAACTACACAGCACACACCCTGAGCCAGCGCCGCAAGGATAATCCAGTCTGCTTATTCAATACACACTTCAGATGAATCGAGTTGTTCTGGGCTTCAATTGTCTTGCTTCCTCAAACGTAAGTATAAAAAGTACCCTTTAAAATCACTCCCTCCAGTTTTAGACTTCTAGTAAATGGCCCAATCTCCAAAATTGTTCTTTGCAGGATCCAAACCCCGAAATTGGCTGTCATATTTAAAAATAAGTGCTAAGGAAGCACACATCATAACCAAAGCCACCAACCCAAAGCAGGGAGTTGCCCTCATTAAGTCATCCTCCCGAAAGTGCAGTGAGACATTAATTATCAGACGAGAAAAGTCAGCCAAATAAACGTCTCTATCCCTACCAAACGCTCTGCCAATGTTCCTGGCACTAATGGTTAAGTCAACTTTCTGTACACTTGGTCCCTACTCTCTACCATTAATTAGCAGCTGGGTAAGGACGGGGTAAGCACAGGCCCTAGCAGCTGGGTAAGGACATGAGTAGAGAGAAATCTACTAACTGCATGGTGAAGTACCACCTGTAAACTTGCCAGCCACCGTCGATCTGAACCCCTAATGCTCAAATTTAATTTGATAAAATCTAAAGGGAATTGCTATGATGATTTCTCAGACACATCATTGCCCAGTCTGGGCTGAGCCTCCTCTAAGGAAACAGATACATTTGTCGAAATAGAGGTTTTAAAGAACTCTTACTTGCAAAGTCCTCAGTTGAAACCACTGGACATGCAAACTTTTAATAGAGCATTTTCAGAGTCATAGAAAGAATACACAGTCGTTTCCACGTTCAGCTACAGAAGAGAGAAGATGGGTGGACTGTGGCTGGCGACGCCTGAACTGACAGCTGTGGAGCAGGTGAACCAAAAAAGGAAAAGATAGGCGAGTCTCTGGGCAAACTGTGGAGCCCAGGGTGATCATTTTTCACAACTGGAGAGTTGTTACATAATTACTTGTTAACTCCTGACACACACCTACATAGCTTATGCTAACCACTGTAGCTACGGTATGGGTTGCAACAGCCCATGTTTCACCAATTGGTTTCACTCAACGAAATAAGTAATCCTGGAAGCTATCCCTTTCTAAGGTAACTTGCCTACTTTTACACATCCATAACCGCCTCCGGGGAAAAGCCAACAGCCTCTCTAGAGACAACATTCAGCGCTTCTCCTTAATATTGCTCTCTTAATATTTTTTTTAAAGAGAGAGATACAGAAATACATTCACAGAGCCAAATTATATGATCACCTAACTAAAAACCGACTTCCATTCCAAACCGGAGGATGCGAAAAGGGCCCCCCCCCCCAATCCGTGCCTATACCGCTGGCGCAAAGCCCAATGTCCGATGTAATGCATTCCGACATTTGTCAAAAAGTTTACGAGGATTTAGCTAAACGACCGGGGCGGGGGGCGGGGAATAAATAAATAAACCTGGCAGAAACGCAGGAAAGCCAGCAGGAGGATGCCAGCAAGGAAGAAGAGGTAAGGCGCCCAGCGGCGCAGTGCAAGGCCCCGGCAACCGGGAAGCGACCCAGCCCCCGCAGAGCGACCGGCGGCGGAGCGCGGGGGTCGGCAGGCTCCAGGTCTCTCGGTGGCCCGGGGTCCCCGAGACCCCATCCGGGGCCCCGCCTCCGATCCCCTCCCCACCCACCCCTCCCCCCCCCTCGCAGCGCCGAGGACGCCCCGCCGCCGCCGAGCCGGCTTGGCCCGAGGTCAGCGCTGCGGAGCGGCGGCAGCACGGCGGGGAGGCCGCCGGCGCCCTTACCTCCTTCTGCTTGGGGTCCTGCGGGTAGACATCGGGCGGCCCGAGCCGCGGGCGCTTCAGCGGTCTCTGCTCATAGCTGAGGAGCCCGAAGGCGGCCATGATCTCTCATGTTAACCGGCGAAATGAATGAGAGTCGGAGCCGGAGCCGGAGCCGGAGCCGGAGCTGGAGCAGCGGCCTCTGAGCACCAGGGAGCAGCACTTTGCAGACGAGGACTCCCTCTCCCCTCCGCTCTCGCTCGCTCGCTCGCCCGCCCGCCCGTGGCGCTGCAGGCAGGAGAAAGCAGGCTAAGCAGGTTGGAGACCGCCGCTGCCCGCGCGCGCACACGCGCTCCGGGGGGCCGCCTCCGCGGGCACCCCGCTGCACCGAGCCCCGGGACGCTGGGCTCCGCGGGCGGCGGCGGCGGCGCTGGCGGCGGGGCTGAAGGTCGGCCAGGGTCCGCCGCGGCGCCGGGGCGCCGGCCTCCGCCACCCCCACCCGGTCCCCAGGGGGAGGAGGAGGAGGAGCAGCTGATGGGGACGTGTGACTTTCTTCACCAATGAACCCAAACCCACCCTGGGGGGCACGGGCTGCGCCGGGGAGGGGCGCAGAGGGGGGAAAAACTTTTTCTCGGCGCCTAGGCGGGAGGCTCGGTGTCGCCGCCGCCACCGCCGAGAGCTCGGCGTCCCTCGGGCCCGCGAGGGGCTTACGCAGCGGCGGCGGCTCGCGCCCACTCCCCGGCTCGCCGTGCTCCGCGCCCGTCGCCTTGCACCCGGAGGACCTGACGCCCGGGCGCACGGAGCCGCGGGAGCGAGGCCGTCAGGGGCCGAGGATGCGGATGCGAACGCCGCCGCCACCGCCGAGCTAGGGCCGGTGCCTCTCGGCTCTGCTGGCGCAGGGGCTCCACGCGGGTCCCCCTCGGCGGCGCCCTCAGGGGCGCTTTGCTGTTTTTTTTTTTTTTTTTTGCGAGCTGCCGGCTGCTGCAGGCGAGCGCAGCGGCTGCAAGGGGCCGCGCTCGCTGTGGCGCGGGGCCGACTTAACCCTTTGCTGGCCCTCCCGGGGGTTGGGGACGCGGGGGGGGGGCGGGGAGCGGTGGCCGCGAGCACCGACGGGCGTCTCGGGCGCGCAGGCGGCTCCGGCTCCCCGGGTCGCCCCCCGGCCGCCGCGCGCCGCGCTCCCCACCCCCAACAGTTTACCTGTTGGTCCCCAGCTCGCCGCTAGGCAGGGGCGGGCGCCCGGGACGCTCCGGCGGCGGCGGCCGCAGCCTCCATCGCTCGGGTAGGAGGGGGAAGGGAAAATGGGATTTGACGTTGCCAGGTGTCTGCCTCGCCAGACTGCGGACGCCACCGCCGGGAAGTTTGCGGCTGCCCGGGGGCGTCGCTCGCCGCCGCCACCGCCGCCGGCGTTCTCGCCCCCACGGCCCCGGGAGCGCGAGCTCCCGAGTTGGCGGACGGCGGCGCGGCGGCCGCACTGAGCATGCCCAGCTTGGCGGCCGGACCGCGGAGGAGTTGGCTGCGAGCGAGCGAGCGCCTCGAGCGCTCCCATCCGCCTCTCCGGGTTTTCACAGCCGCAGAGCTCGCAGCCCGCGGGCCCTGCGCCCCAGCCGGCTGCAGGGTTAAACCCCCTGGCTAGGGAACCAGCACCGAGGAGGGATCACCCCCCCCCCCGGCCCTCGGGCTGCGCCCTCTGCCTCGACCCCTTCCTGCGGTTGCAATCCCAGCAGCCTGGGCGAAACCTCACCTGCTCGCAGCGCAGGGATGGGAGCCGAGGGGAGGGGGCGATGATCCTTTCGGGGGGGAGCAAACAGTCAACCCACCTGCCCGCTGCCCTCGCTTGCTCCAGGTGGATACCCAGATCTTGAGCACGAATCGAGACCTAGCCTGGGAGGCGGGCCCAGCCTGTCCTGAGGGACCCTGCGGGAGGCGCGCCCAGGAGGACGCGCCAGCGCTTGGCCAAGAATGATGGCTGCCATTTATGGATTCTTCCTTTGGTGGTATGATCGCGAGTGTCCGAATTTGCCCCTGACAACAAACCCTCCAAGGCTTTCCTTGCACCCTCTTTATAAATGAGGAAATTGTGTCAGCTCCGGGAGGTTAGGTGAGCTGTTCAAAGCTGCCTCAGCTAGCAGGAATTTGAACCTACCACACTGCCAGAGCTCGGGGTTCTGACCTACCTTCCTGGCTTTGATTTGGAAGGTCTGGTGTCGCATCCCCCCCCCACCTTGAGGAATGCCTTGGATTCCTGGTTCCCAGCTCTGGAGAGGATGGGGGCAGAATAACCTGCAGCCTTTATATAGTCCCTCGTTCTTGTTGGTGATCTACTAGCGTCTACTCACTTGGCTGGGTTTAAAGCCCCCAAGGGAAGGAAGAAGAAGGCGAATGAGGCAGTGGAGTTGTAGTAGACTCCCCCTGCTCCCCCTGAACCTGCCCAAGTACCTCCTGCCCAGCCTGAAACCTAAGCGGGGCTGAACTCACTCCTCAGTCTGAGCTAAGACTTCTGGGGAATTCTTCCCTACCAAGAGGTGTTTCCTGTCCACCTACCTTGGTTTATCTTTTCTAATCTATAACCCTGTATAAAGGAACTTCATGGCGTAGTTTCCCCTGTGTTAACTTAATAGGCATCTATCAAATCCGGCTCCTTTACTTGGAAAAAAAGACATTTTTTAAATTCATACCTAACTTCATTAAGAAAATTATCAGGCATGCGGAAAAGCGAAGAAAGTATATGTAATAAATCCCGAGTATTCATCATCCAGCTGTGACCAGGTCTCACGGTTTTATCTCAATCTTCTCCCTGCTCCCAAAGGACGGAAGTACACACCGATATAGCAAGGAGGGTGTTTTCATTATTGCAGGAGACGCGCCGCATGACACTTGGCACATCTCCAAAAACTGTGGAAGGGTGGTTGAGTGTGTAAGTGTGGGGACTTGGGACTTCGTCTTAGGTAGTACTTCACCGAGTTATAGTCTGGTCTGGTGAGAGACACATCCAAAATTTTTCTCATGGGATAGCTGTCATAGTCCATGTTCTGTTGATGTCAAGAGACACCGTGACCACAGCAACTCTTAAAAAAAGAAATTGTCCAGTTGGGGCTCGCTTGCCCATTCAGATTTAGTCCGTTATCTTCACGGTGGGGAGCGTGGCAGTGCACAGGCAGGCTTGGTGCCGGAGAAGTAGTTGAGAGTTCTACGTCCCGACCAGCAGGCAGAAGGAAAAGACAGACACTGGGCCTGGCTTGAGAAGTTGAAACCCCAAAGCCCGCAAACGTACTTCCTCCAACAAGGACGCACCTAATAAACAAGCTTTCAAATATTTGCTACTATGGGGTCCATCCCTGTTCAATCCACCTCAATAACCAAGGCAGAATAACTCCAAAGGAAGCACTGTTGCTAGCTTTGGAGGATTGTTTGGGGGCGGTTATACTTTTTAAATTTTATGGTAATGGCGGTGGTGATTGGATTTTATTTTTGTTTTAGTTTGATTTTTTTTTTGAAGGATCTCAGTGTGAAACCCATCCTAGCTTTGAGTTCACTATGCAGCCCAGGCTGGCCTTAACTACAGCTATCCTCCTGGCTCAGTCCCCCAACAAGCTGGGGGACTGAGGGGTGAGAAGTACCATGCATGGCTATTTGTTCCTGTGCAGAGTCTCACTGTAACCCAGGGTGACCTTCAAACTGACTAGATAGCAGAGAGCTGACCCAAATTCACAATCCTTCCGTCTCAACCTCTTGACTTCAGATTCTTGAGGTAGTTAAAATCTTACTGACATTTTTAAAAGTGGACTGTACCCTGGTATTTGGGGAGAGGGATTGGACAAGTCCTCTCCCTGTTGTATTTCTTTTCTTTCTTTTTTTAAGGTTTTTTTCGAGACATGAAACAGGGTTTCTCTGATTGATCCGCCTGCCTCTGCCTCCCACGTGCTGGGATTAAGGGCGTGCACCACCAACGCCTGGCCCAAAGGCCCCGCTTGTTGTACCTTCTTATCTGCTTCCACTTCGTGGGCCAGTCAGACATGAATGTTTTGCTCCTCTCCACACAAGAAATAAACAATGGCTGAATAAGGGTGAGAACTCCTCTACAGCGAGAAAGGACCCAAAAGCATCCTTTCACTCCCAGAACTACAGACAGACATGCCACCTTTGAGAGTTTTTTGCAGAGCACGCCTACCTACCCACCCAAGCCACAGACCTTTCTTCTTCTCAAATGTGGAATCCCCACGCCTTGCTCCTCCCACTGGCAGTTCTTTTTTTTTTTTTTTTTTTTTTTTTTTTTGGTTTTTACGAGACAGGGTTTCTCTGTATCGTTTTGGAGGCTGTCGGTCCAGCCCGGCCTCGAACTCACAGAGATCCAACTGCCTCTGCCTCCCGAGTGCTGGGATTAAAGGTGTGCGCCACCACGGCCAGGCCCCACAGGCAGTTCTTAAGAGCACAGGCTTGTACGGCGTCGATCTAAGCTAAGGCTCGCCATGATCCTTCGCCGTTTCCGGTGCTCATAGCTCTTAATCTCCGTTCGTGTTTTTCAGGACCTCATTACTTGCTGACCCCTGGTCACATACGTGACGCAAGGACAGTCTCATCGTCTTCTTTCCTCACTCTTCTGTTCTTCCAGCTCGGGACTGGAAATAGTCTTCCGGGGTAAACAGGGCAGGCTTGGCATGCCAATCTTAACCTGTAAGCCGTTCTGTTCTGGGCCCTGCGTACATTTCCCACATGGTGCTTGGCAGTATGCAGACACACACAAATTCTTATTGAGGTTCTCTATGTGTAGACCAGGCTGGCCTTGAACTCACAGAAACCTGCCTGGATCTACCTCCCAAGTGTTGGGATTAAAGCTGTACACCATCACATCTGGCTTTATATATAATATCTAATATCACCTAGCTGATGAGTTCTCTAAGACTAGACCCCCACCCCCCCACCCCCGGCCAGGAAGGTTCTCAGCCTGTTGGAAAAGATGAGGTCAGAGACTCTGGATGTTTTAAACACCTGCAGAGGAAAGGTGACAGAACATGACTAGAGGAAGAGGAGCTACAAAACATAATAGGGAGCTGTGTCACCCAAGCTGGCTCTCCAGTATACCTTACGGGACTTGATAGACGTTTAAGAGGTGGTCCTGTTTCTTGTGTCACATTCAAGGACTCCAACCTTTAGTACCAAGAAGACCCCCAGCCCCACCCCCAGCTGCTCATAACTGCTTCCACTTCTCTCTGTAAGCCTTGGCTCTCAGTCTCCAGCCAGCACCGTCTCTCTGTTAGCATGAAGTCCCTTCAATGCGTGCCAAAGCTGGCTTCTTAGTCCCCCATTTGGTCAGCAGGAAATGCACAGGTCTCTTTTGCCCGTGTATACTCTGGGCAGACATTTCCTAACCAGTACTCTCCCCCTTGCCAACCGTGCATACTGTGCAAGCCACAGCCCACCTTGGAAAGTTCCCCACGATGGCACAAGCCACAGAGGACAAACAGCAAAGGTGGTCTGCGGTCCTCTCCCAGTTCTTTTCGTGAGGGTGGAGGATGACGTTTTCAGAGCACGTCTCAACAATGAGAACGGAAACCGGCTAGTTGCAGAGCAGATCCCTCCATGTCCTTCCGTTCCCACTCTGCAGATCTAAAGGAGCTAGAGGCAAAGCCAGAGCTAGGCCCGACGTCCCCAATACCCTGTGCGTAGTCAACGCACTACCCGCACTGGCTAGTCATTACGTCCCCCGTGTGAAAGTGAGCGTCGAAGAATCTGTGCCACAAGAGGAGCGCCTCCCAACGGTTTGCAGTGCGCCTTCACCCACGCGGAAAGGGGCGATTCTCGGTGCTGCGCCTGTAGGCGCGGTAATTAAAGTTGCTGGGTTTTCTCGTGGGATTTGGTGCTTGCCCAGGTGTACATGTTACTGTGTTTTGTTACCAGTTTCTCTTGCAGGCAATCTTGCCTTCTTTCAGTTTTCCTTCTATTATTTCCTTATATTAATTATTTCAGTCTTCTTTATGTTATGTTTCGATGCACCTGTGTCGTGCCTACAACTGAATCAAAAGAGAAAATTTCATGCCTTCTTTTAGTCAAAAGAAACAAACAAAAAAACCAAGTGGAGAGGCTGTTGGGATGACTCAGTAATTAAGAGCATGCCCCGTTCCCTCCTGTTCCCATTCCCACCCTCCCCCAGTCCACTTGCAAAATTTAGTCCCCTTCCCAAGGATACCTTGCACGTTGTCTCTCTCTCTCTCTCTCTCTCTCTCTCTCTCTCTCTCTCTCTCTCTCTCTCTCTCTCTCTCTCTCTCTCTCTCTCTCACACACACACACACACACACACACAATTTTGAGGCCTCCTTGTCATGCTGCCTCTCTGAGTCTGTGGATTGCAGCATAATTATCCTTCACAGCTAATACCGTCTTCTAGAGGTCCGGACCGCCTCACATAGGATTTTTTTTTCTGCTTCTATCTATTCGCTT